ATTATTATTATGTTCTTGTTGTTGTTGTTGTTGTTGTTGTTGTTCATTTATATTTTCAATTAGATTTATGTCTGTCTTCTTCTACATGTGGTGTGGCCCTCCTCTCCACTTTATCCACATAACCCTACATATGAATAGGCAAATGAGTGAAGTCACCCAGTTGGTGTCTTGGGACTAGAATTTGGATCTCATAAGCTCAGTCTATCATTCTTAACCAGGATACTACCCTAAGTATCTCTTACTGTTAATTATTTTGTGCCTTTCTTTGGACCCTATTTATATTATTGACACCACGCACCAAGGGAAGTTGGAAGGGTTTAATGAAGTCAGAAACCTCAAGGAGGTCTTGCTCCATGCATAGGACTGAGAAGTTTCACCATTTTGTCTCCTGTGTTACAGTTCTCATTGCCTTTCTTGTTTTGATAAGGCTCGGCTGCCATCTGGGTGCATGCGTGCATGTGCTCGTGCCGTTGTGTTTTCACTTTGGCTGTTCTCCCAAGAATCAGGATGTATTTATTTATTTTAAGGAGAAGAGTGTCAGATGGTATCATACAGCTACAAGCAGCGAATAATTCCAATGGCTGTCAGGCTGGGTTGGTGGGCTTGTTCATAGGTGTCTGGAGGGCAAGGATGCGATTAGTGGTTTTGCTATGCAGCGGGGAATCTTCAGCTGGCTTCCTCACCGTGTGAGTTGATAACTAGCTGGGAAGTTTATAGTAGCAACCATGGTTTAACTGGGGCCAAGTATGTCCCGTGTCAGTTCTTTGCCACCCACAATTTGGATTCTGTGCCAACGTGATCCTGGTTTTGCCCCAAGAAATCTTTGGTTGTGCAAAAGAAAAATTATATGTAGAAGACTTGGGAAAGAGTGGGAGTTGTACAGATTACTGAATCTGAAGATTGCGCCAGTCCAAGTGCACAGCCCTTTTCTGTCTGTCTCCATCATCCGTAAGGGCTAGAAAGTGTTGATACTGTTGTTAGAAAAGCTGTGGTCATCAGGACACTGTGTACCAGATAGAGAATGATCCAGTCAAATGGGCCCAGGAGGCACTCCATCCTCCATACAGCCAAACGCCCTGTTTCTCCCTACCCCACTTGTACTAATCAGCAGTAGAAGGGAATGATGTCTGTTGATTGTTCTTGTGATTAGACAGCCTTGTTGATTTCCATGGAACTGGAGCACAATTAATTTTTTTTCTGAATTGGGGCCACCTGAAATGTGTGGCCATGGTTGTTCTGCTGATCTTGAATGTTGCTGGAGAAATGCTTTTCCAGCATGGCTTATTGAAACTTGGTTGAATGAGTGGAGAAACAAATCTTCAACAAGGGTTCTAGTCTTTATGGTCACCACACTGATTGACTGGTTTAAAAAAAAAAACATGTGACCTTTCATCCGTCACTTGCAACATGCCTGGGAAATGTGTATGGGAAACATCTTCAAATGGGTTCTAGTTTTTGTAGCGTCAGAGATTCTGATGTGTTTCAGGAGGATTCGTACTTGTTCTTTCTCCCGGGCTACCTGTAGTCCTGCATGTCTGCATCTCCCATCTTTCAGTCTTTGCCCTCCATACCTTCTCTGCTACAATGCATCCGAGGCATCAGACTCATTTAGACAGATCATTTTCATGATTTGTGTACTTTACATTTATTTTATCTGAGATCATAAGCTGTCTTAAAGACCTTTTCAGGGAAGGGGTGGAGTAAAAATGCTCTGAACAAATATGAAATTGCTTACCAAGCAAATCCGGTATTGAATGAAGAGGAAGTCTACAGAGCAATAGCTTTATGCAAAATTAATAAAATTAAGTGTGTGTATGTGTATGTGTGCGTTGGTGTTGATGCTGGTGTTTCAGTGCAGCGTAGAGACATCTCGGTGGGGTAATGGGAGAGGGCCTTCTCTCTCGCTGCTCCCAGACACTGGAATTCCCTCCCGTGGGAGGCCAGGTTGGCTCCATCTTTGCTGTCCTTCCTCAAGCAGGTGAAGATTCTCTTCAGGCAGGCTTTCCCTTACTGGCCTACTGTCTAGGGCAGTGGTCCTCAACCTTGGGCCTCCAGATGTTCTTGGACTTCAACTCCCAGAAATCCTGGCCAGCAGAGATGGTGGTGAAGGCTTCTGGGAGTTGTAGTCGAAGAACATCTGGAGGCCCAAGGTTGGGGACCACTGGTCTAGGAGACAATAAATGGGATGGTTTAAATCTTTTTTTTTGCTTCTAAATTTGTTTTTCATAATGCTCTTACCCAAGATTTTTAACAAACAGTTATTAATTCTTTTTTTAATATTTGAAGAATTTGCTAACTTCTGGACTGGGATTTCATGGGAGAGGCGAGGACTGAATGGCTACTGACCGGCATCTCTTTGTGTGTATTTCTTGTTCAGCAGCTGCCGTGAAGCTCTGCGTCTCCTTGCAGCTTCCCCAGAACATCCCCATGGACCTGCGGATCGGACAGCGCCTCACCAAACCCGGCCCTGACACCGCCTTCCTGGCTCTGAAACAGACACAGCAGCAGCTGCAGAACCAGCTCTTCTTGGCCAGCCTGCATCACCAACAGGTGGAGCCCTTCACCCACCCGCACCTGCGGGTGAGTATCTTCTTGCACTTTCTCAAGGGCGGGCTGGGCAAACCAGGAACTCCAGACAGCCATCCAAGAAGCAGCCAGTCTCCAATCAGCTTTGATGTTGTGATCTCCTTCCATGTTCTACCCAGTGGCTTCATAGGCAAGGATGCTGGTCTGGAATTTACACAGTCTCCCTCCTGGCAGGATCAGTATTTATGAATTAAAGTGTTCTGAACCAGAGCTGAGGAATGTGTAGCATGCCTGGTGCTGTAGGACTACAACTCCCATCAGCTCCAGCCACCACAACCAAGGAAGGGAGATGATGGGTACCGAGTTCCAGTAGCACTAGCCTTGTTTTAAACTCACTTGGACCTCTTGTATATAAATGGATAATTCCTAGCAAGGTTAGGGGCTCTTGATTCACTTTTTTACTATGGTATTTTCGGATGCAGTGGAACATGAATGTGGGGCCCTGGAAGCTGGGAACCAGCTGTTTACTTGTAGTACCATTAGTAAAGCCAATTGGATTGTCTGTGAGTCAGTGTAAAGCATGCTGCAGAAATAATCTGCCACCTAGATACGCTGGACTTCAGTTTCCATCAACCCCTGCAGCAGTGTAGTTGATGGTCAGGGATGTAGGCATTGTTGTCTAAACATCTGGAGGATATTGGATTGGGAAAGATGCAGAATAGGACATCTAAGGAATACAGGTACTGGAGTCCTTGCTCTGGGTTCTTCCCATTCTAGAGGCACTCCCCCTTGAAGGGGGATCCTTACAGGCCCAAAAAGGAAAGCACTTGAGAATGTTACTTTTTGAAAAGAACTACAACGCCCAGAAAAACTGACTGGGGGGATACTGGGAATTCTGATCCAAAGGAGGTACAATGTGGACTTCATTCATAGATCCACAGGATTCTCCCATTATGGATGAAAGAAAAGCGACACCGCCGAAGGAGTCCAAGCAGCTATTTTTCTACTGTCTTAAGTCAGGAGATCACCAAAGAAAGCCACAGAGCTGTTACTCCTGCTGTCTGTTTCATCTGCTCTCTTGAGAGAGAAAATGCAGTTTTCTCACTTAAGATGCTAAAAAAGACAGTTTTATACAATCTTACATCTAATGGGATCCTTTTGTTGCCTGTTATTGGCTTGTTGTCTGGGAGCTTTCCCCATCTTCCTCATTTGGGTTGAGGATGCAAGATGTTCCCATTCTCTACTACTGATGGCAAAAGTGTCAACAGAATGTTGGCAAGCAGTTGTTGTTATGTTCTGTCATGTCGCCTCTGGCTTATGGTGACCCTATGATAGAGAGATCCCCAAAATGTCCTGTCATTAACAGCTAATGGGGAAAGTGTCAGCAATGGAATGTTGGCAAACAGTACTGGGGAAAAAAACATTGAATGCTAGGTGGGGGGAGAAAATGTCAAGATGTCCATGCAAAAGAAGCAAAGGACTCGAAAGTATTATTGCCGCAAGAGCTGGCTTCCTAAGACTGGCGTCTTCCAGCCATTTTGGACTACAGCTTCCACCATCCTCAGCCACCAGGGCCAATGCTGGTTTTCATCTCAGATATCTGAGTGGTATCAGGTTTGAGAAGGCTGGGGAAAAGGAACTAAAAGAGAGAGGAGCAATGATGGAGTGACTTTCAAAAATGGAGGATAGAAAGGGTAGTACAGTGGACCCTCGACTTACAGACGGCTCGACTTACAGACTTTTCGAGCTACAGACTTCTCTGGCTGCAAAATTTAGATTCGACTTGCAGCCGGAGAATCGACTTACAGACCAGAAAAAAACCAAAATGGAACGAAAATAGAATAAAAACTGCCAGTTGTGGGATTAATCAGTTTTCAGTGCATTGTAGGTCAATGGAGATTCGACTTACAGACTTTTCGACTTGCAGCCACCATTCCAATACGGATTAATTCCTTGAGTAGAGGGTCCACTGTAGTTTGAGAAGGATAAATATGAAAGAAAAGTAAGCTCAGAGTCCAGGAGCAGAGCAGACCAGGTGGTCCCTGACTCGTTTCCTGGCATCTCCACTTGGAAATAGCAGGAGCAGGTGATCCCACTGCCTGACTCCCTGGAAAGCCACTGCTGGCTAAAAGCAGGAGGATCAATAGTCTGGACTGCTCTAAGCCTGCTTCTTATCAGTTGGCGCTATCTTAGGCGTACCTCCTGGAAGTGAGCCTGGATGGTTGAAGGTAGGTGTTAGGAAGCTTCAGCGCCCCTTTGAACCCTGTGGGTGTTTGGGTTCATTGCTTATGGAAGACATCATCATTACAGCTGGGGATCCTTTTGTCTCCTTAGTAGTCTCCAGGGGTGGGTGTTGTGTCTTCTGGATTCAGACTTCAGACAGCTCATGAGGGAGGTGGGCAGAAGGTAGATCTAGATCTGCCGGTTGCTCTCCAGGTGACATGATGAGCAAGGGTTTCTAACTCCCTGTCTTATAACAATAGCAGCAACAAGATCATTCATCATCATGCCCTGCATTTGTTCATCATCATGCACTGAAATGAAAATAGCTGTAGTGGGGAAAATATTAATTAGATATGCAATTTTGGTTGGAAGAATGAGGAATTCTCATGCTCAGATAAATGTCTCAAGTCAGATTTATTGAATTCTCAATACTGTATATTCTGTACCAAGTTCCAGCTAATGGAGGTGTAGCTTGGAAAAGTTACATTTTGAACAACCCCTCTCTGAGTCTTCTACCCATCGCACCCATGCTGGATGAAATATTCATGGAGTTGTAGTCCATAAAAAGTAATGCTTCCAAGCTCTGGGTGAACGTCATGTTTTGACAGAAAAAGAAATCACAAAATAGATCCCATCAACTGGGCATCTGCCCACTCTTAGCATGGCCACATTTTCTTCCTTGTGATAGGTGAAGGATTCTTTGTATATTTTTGATTGATCAGCCAGTTTATAATGTCTAGTTTGCACTCAGACATTATGCACAAATTGGAAAAACCCCAACAAGCAGCAGCAGCAGCAGCAACAACAGGTTCCTCATTCTTGGGATGAAAGCAAGGAATCCATTGAGGGCCAGAGATTTTTTTATTGACGGGCTCAGCAAGTTAAGACAACCTATTCTTTGTAAGAACTTGTAATTTTGTGAGATTTCCTCACATCTCTGATGGAAAAAGTGATGGGCTCCTCCTTGGTATGTTCCTTCAATATCTTTTTCCTCTCCTTTCCTCTCCAGGTGCCGATGGAGCGGCCGACCCAAGACTCCGTCCCTGGGAAGCAAGAGCAGGAGCTGCTACTGCTCTTAAACAAAGACAAGAGCAAACGCAGTAAGCACCTCTCTCTCTCTCTCTCTCTCTCTCTCTCTCTCTCTCTCTCTCTCTCTGTGTGTGTGTGTGTGTGTGTGTGTGTGTGTGTGCTCAGATGCCATGGAGGTTATTTTCCTGGCATCCTCCTATTCCTCATTTAGTTTTATTATGTACCTATAACTTTTGCCTCAAGCAGTAAAATGTCTTATTTATATATTTAAATTTTTACCTCACCCATCTAGTGGCCAGGCCACTAATCTATGTGGCATACGGTATTGCAACATAAACATGGACTAAAATACAATCACAATCAAATTCAAACATTAAATAAAATGAGAACCAAATCTCTTAAGCTAGCTCTGTGCAGCATCCCATATCCTATTTGGAAATGTGATGCTGCATGTACTGTATAATCTTCATTGTGTTGACTGAAAGGCTAATTTCCTTTGAATTCAGTGGGACTCACTCCCCATTAAGAGTGCATTAGGTTTGTATGTTTAGAAGTTTAAGCTAGAGCAGTGCATGGGCTTTTGACAAAACCAGAATAACGAAACTGGTTGGCCTGATATGGACTTATTTCGAGCAGAATGAAGTGAACCAATTTTTTTAAAAAAATATTTGGATCAGAGGCTAAATCAGATGAGGCATGAATTATTTTGACTTTTTTTAAAAAAGATGTTGTGGTTGCTGAAACAAAAAGTGAACTTTAAAGCTGTCTAGTACACAGTCCATTGAAGCTAGTCATCAGCAGATTTAAGGCCTATCATGTTTCCATGTTTCATATGCAACAGTGCAAAAAACAAAAACTTTAAGGTCATTTTGATTCTGTTCAGTAGCAGTAAATCTAAATTTACGGATTGATTCAGATTTGGAGCAGAAATCAAACAGGTTGGGGCAGAAATTATGCTGGGCCAAATCAGGATCCAGTCCATACTCCTAAACTGATCCTCAAGCCACACTGGGGAACCGATAACAACTTTAATGTGGGCAGTCTGGATTTATATCAGGCAGAGAAAGAAGAAGTTTAAGACTTCCAAACAAATGACAAACTGAAAGGATATCTTGAGGAGTTTTTGTGATGTTGGATGGTACATTCATGGGGCTTGTTATAGCTGCAGGTAACATGTTATAAGGATGCTGTGAATATCTATTAGTTTTGACCATGGGCTGGTTGGTCTTGGTTGTGAAAGCTATATATGTATTTTCTGTTCTGTGGAAAAATAGAGAAGGCAGCACGTTAGTGGATCCCTGCCATAAACTGGGAAGAAGTCATGTCTCAACTTCCTCTATTACCATCTCCATGCAAGAAGTGGAGGTTGTTCATGACTTTGTGTACCTTGGCTCAACAATCTCTGACACTCTCTCCCTAGATGTTGAGCTGAATAAACAGATTGACAAAGCAGCTACCACGTTTTCTAGACTCACAAGCATATGGCTTAATAAGAAGCTGATGGCATATACTAAGATCCAGTTCTATAGAGCCTATGTCCTGAGCACACTCCTGTACTGCAGTGAGTCCTGGACCCTTTGTGCATGGCAGGAGAGGAAGCTGAACACCTTCCATATGCGTTGCCTCCGACGGATTTTTGGTATCACCTGGCAGGACAAAGTTCCAAATAGAGTAGTCCTAGAACGAGCTGGAATTTTTAGCAGATATACATTACTGAAACAGCAACGTCTACGTTGGCTTGGGCATGTCGTGAGAATAGCTGATGGCCAGATTCCAAAAGATCTCCTGTATGGAGAATTAGTGCAGGGAAATTGCCCCAGAGGGAGACCACAGCTGTGATACAAGGATATCTGCAAGTGGGATCTGAAGGCCTTAGGAATGGACCTCAACATATGGGAAACCCTGACATCTGAGTGTTCAGCCTGGAGGCAGGCGTTATATCACGGCCTCTCCCAATTTGAAGAGACACTTGTACAGCAGGCCGAGGCAAAGAGGCAGTCCCGGAAGCAGCAAAATCAGGGAGCTGGACAGGGGACAGATTGTGTTTGTCTTCAGTGTGGAAGGGATTGTCACTCTCGAATTGGCCTTCTCAGCCACACTAGATGCTGTTCCAAGTCCTCCATACAGATCACGTTACCATAGTCTCTCGAGACTGAAGGATGCCTAATCTAAACACAATATACAAACATAACATAGTAAAAACTAACAAAGAAGGAAGAAGGGGAAAAATGGGTTTCTGCAATAAAACTTGCTCATGCAGATCAGTCCAGTCAATTGCTATGCCTTTAATGGGTTTCTGCAATAAAACTTGCTCATGTAGATCAGTCCAGTCAATTGCTATGCCTTTTTTTAAAGCCATAGTTCTTAGCCACTACGGCAAACAGAGCCACTATGAAAATGGCATGATAAAACAGATTATCCACTTAAAGTTCAACCATCAAAAGTTGTGTTGTTGAATCTGCCGGTCTCTGAGGCTGTGTTTTATTGACATGGGAGTAAATTCCATGGAAGCAGGTGCAGCTTATCACTTGAGCGTTTAACAGTCAATCACTAAATTAAAACCATTGAAAACAGTTGGAAAATAGAAAAGGGCATGAACCGCTGGTTTGGTGTTTTGGCAGTTCAGCATGATTCATTTCCTAGCTGAACAGCTGATCCTTGGTTCGGTACTCTGCCCTCCCCAGTGGGCACCCACTAGGCAGGAGTGCCTTGCTCCACCTCTTTTGTGTGCTGCCTCTGTGTGGGTGCCCACTGGAAGGAGCAAGGCACAGAAATGCCAATCAGCTATTTGTCTAAAAAAGCCACACCAAACCAGTGAACCAGCAATTTGCGCCCGTCTCTATTCGAAAATATTGAAATAAAGTTGCTTAAATATGAAGTGGCATAGTTTAGGTACAAAGACTTACTTCTTTTTTTAAAAAAGTACTCCTTCAGGATTAATTACTTCTCCACATGCACTGAAGGGTTAAATGAGGAAATGGGAGAAAATAAAAAAAACGAGCCTGTGGCCCTCCCTTTTCCTTCAGTGCTGTTTTTCTCAGACTTTGCTATCACTAATTCCATCTCTTCCTGTCCGTCTGGCATGCAGGAGTCCTGATAAGGCTGGCTGAACATTGTTCTAGCTGTATGCGTCTGTATATGTACGTGCACACTTTCTTTTTTAAAAAAAAATGTATGGATATTGTTGCATAGCAAAACACCAAAAGCAAACAAAAATCCCAAATGCATTGGAAACTTGTCACCCCAGGGTTTGCAAAACTTCTGTAATCGCGGCTGCCTGCAGGACTGATCTGAGCGAGATACACCACTGTAGAAGGGGGAGGAGGTACATGCCTATGACAATCTTGCTGGAGCATTTTGGGGGAAAAGAAGATGTCCTCCCTGTGATGTCACACAGGGGTTCACAAATATCTGTTGATCCAGCGCGTGGCTCTTTGCTCAGTAACAGTTTCATGGGGTGAACAACCTTCCTCCTCCCTTTACTTCCATCCCTGACACCAGGGCACTGTTAAGTTTCATAATTGCTAGAATCCTGTTGTTTAACGTGGTTTTAGAAGAGGTAGTTTGTGCAAGCATATCAGGCAAAATCCAAAGAAACAAAACAAGACAAGACAAAAAACCATGTGTCACCTTAAAAACCATTATATTTTAACATGAGCTTTCGTGGATGGGTCCAAGTTTAGCATAGTAAGTGATACTAAACTAAATCCACTGACTCTGCGGGGATTTGATATGTGAACTCCTCTGTAAGTATTACAGTGGTGCCTCGCAAGACAAATGCCTCGCAGGACAAAAACTCGCAAGACAAATGGTTTTGGCAATGGGGGGGTGTTGGTTGATGACTCGCAAGACAAATGTTCCTATGGCCATGCTTCGCAAGAAGAATGTTTTCCGTTTTTTGTTCCTGCCTCATGTTTGCTGATTTTTTAATGTTTTTCTATGATGTTTACAAAGTTAAAGTTTTTTGAATGAAATTTTTTAGATCATCTGCACAATATGTACGGCTTTAAAGAGCACTTAATAAACCCTTTGTAAACCAAATTTTACTTTGTTCTGACTTTTTTGCCCATAGGAACGCATTAATTAGATTTCAGTGCATTCCTATGGGAAAACGTTTTTTCGCAGGATGAATTTTTCGCAAGACAACATTAACCATGGAATGGATTAAATTTGTCTTGCGAGGCACCACTGTATTGATTTCTATGGACCTTCTTTAGTTGTGACATACTTTAGCTTAGTTGCAACTAGAGTAGGTCCGTTTCAGTCAATGCAGCTTATGAAGAAATTAACCTGCCAAATCCCCACTGATTCAGTGGGTCTACTCCAGAGCAGCTTACTGCACTCAGCAACAGGATTTTAGCTTTTATCATCTCTGCTGTTCATTTATTTTAAAGTCGGATAAGCTTCCTTTTAAGGGAAGGCGTCCCCCAACAGTACACAATAAACAGCATAAATCAAGTGTGGGCAAAGCTGCCCAAGGTTAACTGGTGACTTTCGGGACTCACTTGAATGCCTGTGACAATACCGCTTGATGGACATAAATTGAAGCAAGAGTTTCAGTTGTTGGGGGCCATGACAAAGACAGTCCTGTCTCCTGCTCACCAGTCAAATTGCTCTAAAGAACAAAGGTGAGGGGAAAGTTTGTTTCTTCAATATACACCAAAGCTATTTTTATAGGCCTGAAGCAACTGCCATGGCAAACACTGTAAGAGAGAGATGAAGGCAGTGGTTCCTGAGATCTCTGCAGCTAGGCATTTGCAAGAGACACTTAACACGAGAAGCTTAGTTTTAAAAATGCTAGCCTCTCTGCAATAAACACACTTCTCCCCTGTTTTTTTCATTTATTCTAGTGGAACATTTATCAATTCAGAACTCGCAGAGATTAGCTCTTCTGTAACAACAGGAACAATCCTCCGCATGTCTGCTCAGATAATGAAGTCTCACTGAGTTCAACCATGGGCCATCTTCTTAAAGCAGGGTATCAAGGATTCCCCTCCTCAGCTAATTCCCAATACTATTGTATCGCGTTTTTATGGAATTAAAAATTAAATGTCCTTTTCTGTTGTCCACA